ACAAATCTATAGTCGCATGTAAATAACTTTGTCACGTTAATTTGGCGAAAAATGAAAATGATGAAAGGTATTTATGACACTGCAATTTCTATGTTAGAATATTTTAATAAACATTAGATTTTGTAGACTAGTAAAGTATATCACGTAAACATTCGTTTCTGCTTTATACAATTAAATCTTGAACAGTGAAAATAACGTTTGAGAAGATACAAATTCGAGTGTAAGATAACTTGTTGCCGTTACTTAATGAAATGCAAAACCAATAACAACATTTATAAACCGTTTGTTTATTTGTTTACGATATAAAATTAAAATATCTTATTAACACTTCAAATAAACATCTGTCTTCTAACTTTGACATCGGAAAATAACGCTATGCAGTTACAAATTAGAGTGTAAAATAACTTGTTTCCGTTACTTCATGCAATGGAAATGATTCCTCGTGTGCATCAATTATACACATTATAACAAATACAATCAAATAAAAATTATCAATTCTCCATCAAAAATGAATAACTCATATAATACCGAAGAGATGCATTTATATATGTTTGTGAAATAATATATGAACACAAATCTAGTTGTAAGAAAATAACTTGGTCACGTTATTTTGGAGATAAATGAAAACGATGAACGGTATTTTGGACAAAATCCTATGTTCAAATTGTTTAATAAACATTGGATTTTTGAAGACTAGTAAAACATAATATAATAACGTAAACAAGTATCTTATTAGAACTTAAAATGAACATTCGTCTTTTTTTCAATTAGAATTTTGACGACGGAAAATAACGCCGAGAAGTTATAAATTCGAGACAGTGTAATATAACTTGTTTTCGTTACTTAATGCAATGAGAATGATTCCTCGTGTTTATAAAACATACTTATTATAACAAATACAATCAAATAAAAATATCATTAAGCCCCAATCGAACATGAATGATACCAAACCGTAGGGATGCCTTTATATATGTTTGTGAGATAATATACAAAGACAAATAAGTTGTAAGAAAATAACTCGGTCACGTTATTTTTGGCAAAAAATGACAACAATGGCCCGTATTTTGGACACTGAGAGAATCCTTTGTTTAAATATTTTAAAGAAAATTGGATTATTGAAGACTAGTCAAACATATTACGTCAATATCTTATTAGTACTTTAAAATGAACATGTGTCTTCTTTATTTTGCATTACATCTTTAACAACAACAAAATAACGCTGAGAAGTTACAATTCGAGTATAAGATAACTTGTTGCCGTTACTTAATAAAATGCAAAACATTAACAATTTATTGTTTATTTGTATACGATATAACATTTAAATATCTGATTTACACTTTACATAACTATTTTGTCTTTCTACAATTAGATATTTGTCTACGGAGAATAACGCCGAGAAGTTACAAATTCGATTGTAATATAACTTGTTTTCGTTACTAAGTGCAATTGAAATGATTCCTCGTGTGTATAAATTACACTTATTATAAGAAATGCGATCAAATAAAACTATTATCAAGTCACAATCAAATATGAATGATATCAAACTGAAGGGAAGACTCAATATATTTTTTGAGATAATATATGAAGACAAATGTAGTTGCAAGAAAACAACTTGATCACGTTTTTTTAGGCGAAAAATTGAAACGATGAACGGTATTTTGGACCACTGACAAAATTCTGTGTTTAAATATTTTAATAAACATTGGATTTTGAAGACTAGAAAAACATATCACGTTTATATCTTATTAGTACTTTAAATAACACTTGTCTTCCTTTTTTTTGCAATTAGATGTTTGGCAGAAGAAAATAACGCTGAAAAGTTACAAATTTGAGTTTAAGATACATTGTTGCCGTTACTTAATACAATGGGAATGACTCGTCCTATGTATAAGAAACACTCATTATAACAAAATGCAATCAAATAAAATATTATCAATTCTCCATCAAAAATGAATGATACAAAATGGAAGGGATGCCTTTGAATATTTTTGTGAGAAAATAAATGAAGACAATTCTAGTTGTAGGAAAATAACTTGTTCACGTTATTTTTGGTGAAAAAGAAATGAAACGATGAACGACACTGTGACAATTTCTATCATAAAAATTATCATGAAAATGCTTAACTTTTTTTTCTAAAACTCGATTAATTGTCTTTTGCAGCGTATAATAACATGTTGCCGTTGTCATTGAACGACCGTGGTCGATTATTTGCTGGCTTTGCGTTTCTTGCCGGTGTGCTGCGTCTTTTATGTTAACCACGCAGCCCAAGTGTGATACTTTTAAAATGCAAATTATTAATAATCATTTATAAAATGTTTTTGATAAAAGAGTATTTAATTTAATTAGCACTTTAGATGTTAATAGCATATGTCTCCTTATTTTTACAAAATAGATCTTTGCCAGAGGAAAATAACGCTGAGAAGTTACAAATTCGAGTGTTAGATAGATAACTTGTTTCCGTTACTTAATGAAATAAAAATTATTTTTCCTAATTATAACAAATTTGGTCACGTCATGTTTCATGAAAAATAGAATCTTTGAAAAGAAAAACAATGGACAATATTTTGGACACTGTGATAATTTTCTAATTTCAAATATTTTAATAATTTTTAGATATTTGTCGACTGGTATAACATATAAGGTTAAAATAACCATATACACTTCTTTCCATAAAGTACTTTTTCTGAAAAGAACAACCGCTTTTAACATGTTTAAAGATGCTGCACTCACTGATGGACTACTGACGGTAAAAAATATAGTTAACATGATTTTCATTTTTAATTTCAGGGCCATAGAAATATGATCAAAGACAATTTTTCGAAACAAAACTAACTAAGAAAATGTTTATTTTTGCTATTTTTTATTGTAGAAAAAAACCCAGTGACTTACGCTATAAATTTATTGGTATATAAACATTATAAACTCGCAGTGTAGCACAATTTTTGTAAGCACAAAGATCCTAGTTTTAATTCTTTAAATAATTAATTTTTCCTTACACTGTTGGCTCCTACACAAAGAAAATGATTTTGACACTCATACATTTAATATACATTGATTTTAACAAAAGTTGAAATGTACTTATATATTGGAATGCAGTCAGTAAGATAACCTGTTTCCGTTAGTATTTAAACGGCATGGCTCATTGGCTTCACTCAGCCAGCCCGCATAGCTCAATCGGTTAGAGCGCGAGACTTGTATTCTCGAACTTGTGGGTTCGATTCCCGGGATGGCCAACTAAATTTACTAATCAGTCTCTCGGATGAGACTTTAAATCGAGGTCCCGTGTATGAGTGCTTAAACACTTATGCACGTTTAAGAACCAGGAGAAGCTTCTGGAACTGGGGCATCTTTCTGTATCTTGCACTATCCTCCAAAATCTAAAATGACCAATGCTCTTCTGGAGGACTCGACCATATGTGCAACCGGTGGCGAGTATTTATAAACGCAAATACACACACAAAAAGATTGGCTTCACTTGTACCTTGCCGGTCTTGTCAGTTTTTACGCCTTTTATGAAAAACACGCATCAATGTAAAACTATTTAGTTAACACTTTTGTCTTCTCGATTTCTTGAATAGACCGAATGAATGTCTTTGAAGTATATTTGTGGAAAATAACTTTGTGATCGGTCTTATATTTAGTGAATATGGAACAATGAACCGTTACAATATTTTGCACACTGTATTATTACGGACATTCAAACAGTTTTCAAACAATTTTATAAACATTATTTGTCGAATGGTATAATACATTGTGTAAAATGTTTGAGTACTCGTTCTGTAAATATTTGTTGTTCTCAATAGAACAATTGCTTTTGCAGAGTATGATAACTTATACGCGTTAAAACATATTGGGCCAATATTACGTGCTGCCGTTGGCTGTCATATGTTGATTTAGTACATGTTGTAAAAAAAAAACTTCAGCATTACATACACACTGGACGAAGACGTGCCGCGACTGTGTTAATCTATCAATTTGGACGTTGTTTTTATTAAAACTTTTTTTGCGTAAATTATGCCGTGGTGATACAATGTCATAGTTTTGAAGCTCTAATGGTTTTACTAAATATAGTTAATGGCATATACATTCGCAACTACATTAAAATATGGAGTAAATTATTTATGTTATAATAAATAATTCTTGCAGCAGGAGATTTTTTCCACGGACGCTGCTTTTTACCTATATTGGTGCAACGGATAAAACTACTTAGTTGCTGCCGTCTAGAAATAAAAGATAAAAATACCTCTACAAAAAATAAGTTTTTAATACGGTTTTTAGACACATTAATTTCTTTTAAAATAAACGTTTAAAAAAGCCATGTTTACAAACTTACACGAAAACAATGTATTTAACATTATTTTAAGCTGTATATGAAATATTGGTATTGATTTCAGTATCGTTTAACTCACTATAAACCCACAATTTATAATTACATTGCAGACAAGAATTTTATTATGTTAAGTAGTATAAATGGTAGACAATCGGGAATAAAGCCTGATAGGGTAGCAAGAGTTATTTTTCTTGCTTCCCCTACTTTCCGGAAATAACGCAAAAGAGTTAGAAATGATTTTGTATTACCTTTTTTTTCAAATGCCCTGCGCACAACTTTATCAACTTTGCTCACCAAGTCAAAGACAGAGATGTGAAAAGCATATTGTTTATACTTTCATAAAAAAATTATCAGAACAATAGGAAAATTTTTGAGATTCGCGCAACAGCGATCTCAAAATTAGAAAAAATTGGTCATTTTTGAGCTAAAAATAGCACATATTTCAAATTAATTAGACCGTGACCTGACTATGAGATGCATTAACCTGTTGATTTATCGGTACTGTACAAAATACGTGTACTAACAGTCACTTTTCGATGTAAACGGAGAACATATACGAATAAAATAAACATTTACAAAGTTGATCCTGTTAGTAAACGGATAAAATTTTATAACGGCTATGGGTTATAAAAATGATAACGTGTTTAAGTTACACCCCTGACTGTACAGGATGCTACACACCAAATATCTAAGCTCTAGACCAAATAGTTTCTGACAAGAAGATTTTTTAAGATTTTCCTATACAAGTCTATGTAAAATCAAGTGACCCCCGGGCGGGGCCAATACTGACCCTGGTGCTATAATTTGAACAATCTTGGTAGAAGTCCTCTAGAGGATGCTAAACACCAAATATCTAAGCTCTAGGCCAAACAGTTTCTGACAAGAAAATTTTTAAAGATTTTCCTATATAAGTCTATGTAAAATCAAGTGACCCTCTGGGTGTGGCCAATATTGACCCTGGGGCTATAATTTGAACAATCTTGATAGAGGTCCAATAGAGGATGCTACACACTTTAGAAGTATCTAAGCTCTAGGTCAAATAGTTTCTGACAAGAAGATTTTTAAAGTTTTTCGTATTTGTTGACATGGCAACCAGAATTTTTCATGGAATTTAATTTTTTGAACAACTTTGAAAGGAGATCACCTAAGGAACATTCCTGTAAAGTTTAGTTGTAATTGGCCATGTGGTTAGGAGATGTTGTTTGAATAAATTGTCGATGACGGACGACGGACTGTGGGCCATCACAATACCTCACATTATGCTCAGGTGATCTAAAACCAAAACACAATGTTATTTTATGTACATGTACTATCATCATATGTTTAAAAGCATGAACATTGAGTATGACTGAAAATGTGAAGTATATGAATCAGCAAAAAAAAGGCAGAGGCAATTTATTGTTTTCATGGTAAAGAAAACTGGAACGGCCAAGAGCAATAAAACAAAACCAAAAATAAATAGTTATACATTTTGTTCAATGGTAGTGTATCCAAAAGATCATTATACACTGAATCCGATAAAAATATCAGTATCAATTAATTCCTATTGATACAAGTATCGATTGTATCAATCATTCCAAGTGACTCTCGGCCCTACCGACCATGCAATTCAAAACATAATTATGTCACTACCAAGTGTCACTATACAATGTATAATGTCCACTTTTAAATAATAATAATATGTATAATTTTGAGTAGTTATATTTGCAACTCTGAGATTAATGCAAGGTTTCAAAAGCTTGGCTTATATATATGAAAAATATACATACAATATTCTAACATAAAAACAGACTCTGAGAAAAAAAAAACACTTGAAATTTCTAACGAAATTATTTTTTATTTTGATCACTGAAATTACTAACGTTTCTATATTCATAAAAGTCTTTACCAGATTTTCTTTAAAGTTCTTTCTGAGATGTCCCAAACCAATTTGGATGAGAATTTCCCCTAAGGGGCTGTCAAATTCTTCTCCTGAAAGAGTAAATAATTGAAATACAGCATTTCTTGTAAATAAATGACATCATCCCTACATGACAATTTTTAAAATAAGGAAATTTTGGAGCCAAGGTATCATTCTTATGCGATACTTTGGACTTCATAAATTTATTGTAAATTACAATACTGTCTAAGTAATTTCCAGGTATGTACAACACAATCTACAATTCTATTGTTATAATATAATTTTCTTTGTGAAATTCAACTTACAATGTTTAAATGACATTATGTATTAAGCATTTTTCTTACATTACTGTGAAATTGTACTCTGGTTTATTTTTTGTAAATAATATAGTATTATTTTAGTTCAAGTATTTCATGAATTTATTTACTTGAGTTTTAAATGAGTGAGCTTCTTTATAAACTATAAAAATAATAGGAAAGCTACGAGCTAAGCTATTTTTGTTATCTTTAAACTCCTCTACAAAGATCTTCAAGCAGATAAATTAAAAATAAACATAATCAAAGTAATATTCTTAGAGCCTTCATAAAACTGTCCTAAGGTATTTCAGTATTTGACTCAAATTATTTGTAACCAACGAAATCCATGCATGGCTGGAAAATTCCGCTTGTCTGCTGGTCATGACAAGTGGGCATATGTACAGGAGTGGGCATTTATCTACAGGACGAGTTGATTTTTACACACACTGGAGTAAGATTTTATTCCTGTTATTAAGTAATCTTTTTCTCTTTTTCTAAGAGTTGCCGTAAATTTCTTTGTAAAACATCCAGTTAAACTTTACACTACCTCCAAATAATTTAACCCATAGCATGTGCATTGAAGCTGTCTTTATCAAGTCAGTATGTCATTGATTTTTCTTATTTATAGACATTAATATCATAGGGGTGTTTTTTTGTCAATTCTTGAAAAGTTTATGTTCTAATTATAATCTCATTAAATATGTAAATTCATGAAATAAAAAAATACTAACTGATATCCAATCAGTGTGTTTTGATAATTATGCAGTACCACGAAAGATTCTGTTATGATTATAATCAGGGGTATCAATTTACCCTGTTATAATAAAGATACTGTTCAAAATATTTAAAAAAGTAGATTTATTCATCAATAAAGTTACTGAATAAAAATGTTCATTGGTAGAGAGAAGTCACTGAAAATCCGTAGGCTATGTGAATTTAAAAAAAAAAATAGAGTATGATACCTGCTACTCGTATCTAGCGTATATAAACTCATTTTATCTTAATAAGGTACATCTGGGACATAATATAAACGTGACTTGCATCTACTGATAAGATAAGCGTAGGTACTGATGCTATGTTGGCGTCCAATTGACCACCGATCGATAAGCTTTGTCAAAATTAATACACCAATCATTTTACGTTCTAAAAAGATTACGAAGCGAAATAGATTGCATTCTAAAGATTAATATATGGTCAAAATTTAAGAATACAATATATCAGTCATGAAAACAAGTGTGAAATCAAAACATTACACGTGTAATGAATTAATTAACGCAAAGTACCAAATTGTGATGATTTTTTTCCGTGAAATGCCGGTATTCTGTGTGGTTTTCGTATACAATAAAACACTTATTTAACAGGTGTAAAAATGTTTAATTTTATTCTCAAAACGAAGATGCATATGCATATTCACGAAAAACATTTATTTCATATGAATCTAATGGACATGTGATCATATTACCATCGACAAAAATATACACCACCCCTTCAGTCCACCATTTTTTTCCGTGAAATGCCGGTGTTCAGTGTGGCTTTTCGTATATGTCAAAACACATATTCAACAGGTGTAAAATGTTTAATTTTGTGCTCAAACCGAAGATGCATATGTATATTCACGAAAAGCATTTATTTTATATGAATCTAATGGACATGTGGTCATATTACCATCGACAAAAATATACACCACCCGTTCAGTCCGCCATTTTTTTTCATTTGTATTTCATGATAATGAGAAAATTCAAAGTAATAATACTCCTCTTTTTTTTAGCATGGATATATGTTTAAAAAATCATGCTCACATTATTCAAGTATTAATATACTAAAGAAAAAATACATTAATCGACCTTTTCTTTGTAATCTGCAGTATATAACCCTAGGACAAAGTGACACATGTTCCCCTGCGTAATTAAAACAATGCCATCTTTTTTAAATTTTCACAATATGCTTTTTAATAATTAAGACTATTATTGGCTAAAGACTTGATCAAAAGTAACACAAAAACAACATAGAATACTAAAGATGTTAATTTATCCATTTTATTTTTAATTTGAACATCAGAACAACAGAATTTATCAATTTTTATTTGAACAAATCTATCGCTTCGAATATGGCGACGTTCGCGCCATATTGGACGAGTACAAAATACATCGCTTATCTCCAGTTACACATCCCGTTCATATACGGTCCCTGGGTACATGCTTAAACCTTCAGTGATTATAAATAGTACACATTTCATAAATTTATGTCATTATATCAACGGAATTATATACACATACCATTTGAACAAGTCTGTAAAGAAGAGGTATCTATCATGATTTCGTCTGAAACTAATCAAAGGGAGGTAATTATGTTACAACTTTATAAAGTATCAGGAGACTTCTATTCATTTTTCAGTTTTTTTGTCACACAATTATGAAACTATCAAAATATTGGATGGTAGGCCTACAGTAGAGTTGTTTCTCAGTAACGAGTAATCAAGAACATGTACACAATATCCAGGATATTATCTCTCCCCATAGTTAGGCGCGAGCTTAGCGCTTTTCACTTTCAGCCTCCGTTTTAGTTCTAGTAAATGTTCTGTTAGTTAAGCATCCAGCTGCGGCAAAATGGTATTTTTCTTTGAAGTTATCAGCGACAGGAGTCAAGCTAAGAAATACAAAAGTCTTACCTTCTGACGATGACATGTTATCTCACGTGTTATACAAGTGGCATTAAATCGCACGCATTGAATGTACGCTCCTATTGAAAGTACTTATAAATATTCATTAGTAGGCGGAGATTCGTGCATGGGTGTATTAAATCAAGCAAAAATAGTAGTTTGCAATCCAAATGTCTCTGTCTTCCAAGATCGCACCGTTTGTCGGTGAGTTAGTAAATTTTGACCAAGCACCGGTAGACGCACGACAATGCGATACGATATTATTCCAAATGTCGTTTCGCATTGTCGAGTGTCGCTTCGCGTTGTCGAGTATCGCTTCGCGTTGTCGAGTGTCGCTTCGCATTGTCGAGTGTCGCTTCGCAATGTTGAGCGTCGCGGTGTAAAAATCATAAAAATAACGCGACATTTACTCGACATTTTAAAAATGTCGCTTCGCGATGTCGAGTGTCACTTCGCATTGTCGAGCGTCGTATCGCATTGTCGCGTTGTCGTTTCAAGGTCAACACAAAGTTGTACAAATAAACAATGTAAATGTATAGAACAAAAAAAAAACATTAGTACTTTTGCACGAAATAGGGATCATAATTTGGCTTTTTACTCAACTTTCGCTGCTCTTTTGACTGTTTTATTTACACAAACAGGAAATACCGTTTTTACACAAAAAGCATTTTAAATTAACTACAAGTAGCAGCCATAAATAGATGACTTGTCTTGATTGATTGACTGTTTTATTTACACCAACAGGAAAAAAAATCGTTTTTAAACAAAAAAGCATTTTAAATTCACTACAAGTAGCAGCCATAAATAGATGACTTGTCTTGATTGATTTCCACTTTTTTTTGCGTTTTTAAAACACATTTGTCAAAGAAATGTAAAAGTATCAATTTTAGTGTTATAGAAAAAAAAACATCAGAAATAATTAAACGCACACACAAATGTATGTATTACAAAAATTATTACAACATTTAATCAACAGTGTTAATCATATATTTTTTTAATTCATCACCTGATCGATGTTAATTCAGATATGTTTAAGTCACTTGGGAGGTTTACACCAGTAAGTGACATTTAAGTGCGTTTTAGATGATGTAATTAGGCCGTACCAATTTATTTTATTTTTTTGCGGTCAATACATTTAGGTCCTATCGATTTGATGTTAGGAAATGAAGCGCGC